CACCTCCAGGGGAAAGATGGTTTAGCTAGCCACCTTCCTTCACAGCAGAAGGAGCTGTAACGTCTTCTTTTCACCTCTTTCTTTCAGGATTGCTGCGTGCTATATACTCCCTCTTACCCCAAAGGATCACCCAAAATAGTTTACAAAGCATCGATCAACGCCGTTGCCAAAACGCAGCCACCTTTAGAGTACAAAATAGCAACAGAACCATTAAGGAAAGCATGCAGGTGGAAGTATAGAAACATAGACAAAGAACAGCAAGGCTTCTCCTCTGCAGCAGAGGATGAAGAGGGAGCCAACCCCCTTTTACACCTCACTTGAAAAATACCTCCCAAATCCTTCTATAAGATCACCATTCAGTTACAGCCGTCACCCAGTCAGACACTAACCAAACCCAACATGATCAGCCTGTGGCATAATTTTAACACAGCCGCTTCAAAACAGTGATTGTCCAAAATTAACAATAACTCAAATCACTATTTTAATGTATCAGTCATATGACAACTGCCCGTCAGTTTAATTTTACTGAGCCATATCACATTTACCTATCAAGAGAAAAAGATGACACACACAGTGAAAGTTTATTCCTTTATTGATAAATGCTTTCCAGACTTTCCAAACTGGATTGTTCAGTTAAAACCAAAACCACAAAAACTTCCAACCTAAAATCCTCGACATCCTCCTCAGAAGACACAAAGGGCAGCTCTGTTCTGACCACAAAGGAAAAGCTTGCAAGCCCAATTCTGGTTTTGGAAATCTAGAGCTTCAGAGTTGGCTTTTTAAATAAGACCTTAAAGATTAATTTACAAAATGCAATATAACTATGTGATATGATGCATGGCATTGAGATCTGCAGGAGCAGTGAAGAATCTTCAAACACCTTGAGCTGATGTCTATGAAGGGGCTATTTGGCTTCTTTGCATCCTAGAGGAAAAGAGGAAGACAAGTTACCTACGCACAGCACACCTTGCTCCAGGCTAGCAAACCTTCCAGCATTACAAGCCATAAGGACGCCCATATACTTTGCAAGGCACAGAGAAGCTGTTCACAGTTGTGGATAATACCCATTTCTGATCATCTGGCAAGAAATTCAAATTCTTTAGCAGAGCAGCCAGTGACTGGAGCTGCTGAGAAACAAACGGATGAAAATATAAAGAACCCTCATCATTCTTCACCATTTTGAGTTGTGACATCTGACCACAACAGCTTCACAAAAAGTACTGAAGATGTAAATTCCAGACAACCCACAGAAAAACGGATCATGAAAAGCGAGAAGACGCATTCAAAGAATCAAAAAACCTTATTCAGAAGTTAAACAAAAGCCAGCTCCAAACACAGGAGACAGGACTTGGAGACACCTATGCAGTGAAACGACATCCCTGACACCAGCACTTTAACACATACTGTAGGCAGGTGATTGGCAGGACAAGGAACGGGCATTAACAGCCCATTTAGCCTCAAAGTCACTTCAACGTCTTGCATGTCATTTTATTTCCCAGATTAGCAGTTTCACAAGATTCATCTCAATACATTATTCCTCCCTTGACATGTCAACTGGTAGGAACACTTGAGGGACTTATGCAACACCTTTCTGATGCTTAAAGAAAGATTTCTGAAGAGTTTTTCTAAAGCTTCTACAGTAAGGATTCTGTTAGGAGAAACTACATTAGGGTTTGTTTTGGTTTTTAAAGAGTGGACTAAAATCAGACAAGTGCTGCACGCGGACTGACATGGGGCTCCAGACTGGCTGCATTCACTAACAATCATGCTTTATTTACTCCAATTCCAGAAGCTTTTCACCGAAGCTAAGGACCCAGGCACTTACCACCAGTCTTCCTGGTTTAAGAGGTAGCAGCAACCACGCCCACCTTCTGGGCAGCTTCTTTCTTGGCTTGGTGAGCCTGCAACACGGCAACGGCCTCCTCCACCTCGGGGAGACAAGTTATCTAGTGAGACCTGCTCTCTTGACCAAAGTTGCTCACAATCCACCTCATCTGAAAGAACAGGCTGGTTTACCTTTGACCGGAGGGACTCTGGAGACTCTAGCATGTGCAGAAGCTCCGAGTTGTCAATCTCTAGCAGCATTCCTGTGATCTTCCCCGCAAGGCTGGGGTGCATAGCTTGAATCAGAGGGAACAAACGTTCTCCTAGGGCAAAAACAGAGTTCAGACAGCCGAGTTTCAATTAAAAAGTCATCTTTGAAACCCGAGGGGATTTCCAACGTAAAACGCAATCTCTAAGAACTGGAGTTTCACTTACCCAGCATCTGTTTCTGCTCCTGGGGAGGGGCAGCAGCCAGCATGGAGGCCGTTAGCGGTTCCTGTCCCTGCACGTGTACTGCAGGCTGAGGTGCCTACAGAAGGGCAGACATGAGGGTTCTGAAATAGATACTAGGCTGATTGCTACTTAGAGACAATAAGATATTCCCTCCTTCTAAAACACAACCTTCGTCAAGCCTACAGCAGACTTATGTTTCAGAAAAGGACAGATAAGGTGCCCTTGGTTCACAAACATGCTCACTCCAAGTCCTGAACTCAAAACCCCAAAAAGTCACACACGGGCACTGTAAATATCTTACAAAAACTGGGTCAAATATTGTAAGACAAATACCACAACTGACAAAGAGCATCCATGCCTGCCACCTTTTTTTTTTTTTTTTTTTTACAACGCAGAGGTTTGTGGGAGAACCCCCTTTTTTTTTTTTTTTTTTTTACAACGCAGAGGTTTGTGGGAGAAGCAAACTGTGCTTTCAATGATAGCCTAGTGAGGATTTGGCAAAGAGGTGAGAGAATGAATGCTTGCAAAATGGGAAAGCAAAGAACCAAGAAAAATGTCCTTACAGCCAATCTGGGTAAAAAAAGGCTTGCAAGTGCAAGACAGAAACCAGTTAGGTTGCCCCTGGCAAAGGTGCAACAGCCAGGTTTTTAAATTCTAAATTCTGATGCCTGTCTGGGTTTAAAAGTAGCTTGAAGTTTCTGTAAAAACACTTCAGTTGCATGCAAAACCTGTTGGCCTGCAGTAACCTGCAGGGACTTCACCACCCAGACCCTTGTGTTACCTGCAAAGGCTGTACAGCTGGGTGTGGGCTGCGGACACTTGAGGCATATTTATAAGGAGGTACTGCTCTGGGAGCAGGGGCAGCTACAGGCGGACGAGGAGCTAAATTCTGCCCTGCAGTGCCAACACCTGCAAAAGAAGAGAAGAGAATTACAAACACCTGTAGCAACACGCAAGCAAGCTGGGATGTCTGATGTTAACTGCTGAATTCGAACTATGCTCTGCAATACTTCTTTAGAAACCAGGCTGCAAAATGCAACTGGCTACTTTAGGAAGGGGCTGTTCTCCCTAAAACATCTTGCATTTAAGCTATTTTCTAGCTACTCACTGGAATAAAATGAATTTGGATGCTCTACTCCGAAAACAATATCCACAACCTACAGAGCCTTTTTTTTTTTTTTGAGTGGTAAATGTTGCAGAGGTGTAGAAATGAGTTCCAAACCAGTGGAAAACAACTCATCTGGATTTCCACTGCTGTGCTGTAGCACCAACTGTCCCCAGACCTGCACTGCACAGCAAGGAATAGGAAAGATTATTCAGGTGCTCTCTCTGCCCCTGCTCCAGGTGGCCTTTGGTTATCTGCATCTTTGGAAGGAGAAGTCAGGTCTCAATAGCATCCTCCTCCCTCACAGACAAGGGGAAGAGCCTGGGAGGCAGAAAACTTACCAACTCGCTGGGCAGCAGCAGGGAGGCCACGAGAGGCCGGAGCATTGCCGGCAGGGGCCAGATGGCGCAGTGCTGGCCGTGGTCCAGACTGGCGCATGGCATTTGGCATTCCCTGGAAGCCTAATGGAAGAAATGAGGGGAAATCCTCAAAATAGAACTGGCTGGCAAGTCAGGACAGTCAGCTACAGGAAGCAAGTTGGGGTTATGTACAGAAAGGAAAGCATGCATTGCTGTTGTTGGAAAGTACAGCCAAAAGGGTCATACAACCAAAATATTGTCTCTAGCATGCTCACCTTGAGGTCTTCCTCCTTGCTGCCAGCGTGGGTTGGGTCTCATCTGCGTCATTTGATTGGGTGCATAGTAAGTGGGTCTGCTCTGTGCCTGAAGAAAGATCAGACAAGCTCAGAGGCCACATCGAAGTGAATGACAAACTTGGTTTACACCATGTTTTGGCACTTGTTGCCAGGACTCAACACTCAATTCACATTAAGAGAACAGGCAGCTGGGAAGGCACAGAATTAGCTCCACTGACTGCAGCCCTCATTAGGAATGTTTGCTTATAGGCATAAGAAAGGCTCAATGAGATTACTGCAGCTGAACCATCAAAGCTCCAAGACAGGTTAAAAAACCTACACCAGCTCAGCTCACCTGGGGCACAGCAGGCATGAAATATCCCCCAGCAGCAGGCTGGAACTGATTAATGATTGTGTTGGCAGGCAAGGCTCTCATCCCAGCAATGCGCTGCATGTACTGATTAGTCAGATGGGCCTTTCGCTCTTCTTTCCTTTGTGCAAGTGCAACATACAACGGCTTTGAGCCCACAATTCGCCCATTCATCTCTGTCACAGCTTTCGTAGCTTCCTCTGGAGAGGAAAAGCAGACAAAGCCAAACCCTTTGCTCCGTCCATCTTCCAGCATGACCTGCAGTAAAGATCAATTGCTAGTGGAGTACCGTTACAAGAACTTAGCCTAAGAATCCATATTTTTTAAATGTCAGATTTCAGGCAGGTAGGACATAACTGTTGCAGAGGTGTAGAGACAGGCACTCAGTGAATGAAAAGTCACCTGTCTGGATTTACTCTGCTTTTCTGTAAGCACCATGTGTCCCCAGGCCCACACCGCACAGTAAGGAATGGGAAAGATTTGGTGCAGCCTCTAAATGCATGTAGGAAAAGGCCATTTCATTCTTATTGGGAGTCACCTCAAACAAGCATGTTTGCCACTTCCTGCCTCCTCTTTTGAGGAGGAAACAAAGCAAGTTTTCAATAAAATCCCACCGAGACCCAAAGAAATCTGTGTATTTACTAGTCCAGATGTTCTTAGGACCACAATGACCAGAGGATATAAGAACTGCCCTTCAATCCCAGTCAGATAACAGTTCCTTCTTCAGGCTTTAAAATCCAAACGCCCCCAAAACCTACAATACCTTGGCACTCGTTATTGACCCAAAAGGTGAGAACTCCTTCCTCAGTTTTTCATCATCTATAGTGTCATCTAGGTTTTTAATGTATAGGTTAACACCCTAGAAGGGAGAGAACAATAAAGCATTCGTAACATTAAAGGAAAAGCTTCAGCACATCAACTGTTAGTGTCTATCTGCCAGAGCTGTAATTTAGCTGAAAACTCTTAATTTAGCATAATGTTCCTTCCGTACCACCCAAAGCTGAAGGCAATAAATGTTGCAAAGGCGTAGAGACAAGTCCCACTGTGGTGAAAGGGAGCTTGTCTGGATTTCCTCTGCCTTCCTTTTGCATCATGGGTCCCCAGTCAAGCACTATATTGCAAGCAGTGGGAAAGATTCAGATGCAGTCTCTGACATGACCCAGTTCTGACATAAATTAGAGAGACAACAACATAAGGTTATGCTGGCTCTTTCCATCCTTCTAGGTATCCCCATTTGAAAGTAAAGGAGACAACATGACTTTTCTCATGTCCTCCTGAACACTTTCATTGCCAACACTATGCCCTGATGTCCCCTTTGCCCCTAAATACCTCAGTCGCCTTTACATTTTAACTCCCAGGATCTCGCTCAGGACAATGACTGACTACTTCGTCAATACCTTTCAAGTGTGCCAATAGACTGAAAATGGTGCTTAAATTCAGAAAAGGAGCAGACTATTCACCTGGTACCGGCTGAGTCTCTCTTGTTTTAGCTGTTCAAACTTCCGTTTCAGCTCTGCCTGGCGCTCAACCTTCTTCTGTGCTCGGCCTACAAATACCATTTTCCCATTGATATCCTTTCCATTCATTTCTTCTACTGCCTGGACAGATGGTTCAAGAGGAAACTGTCAACTGCTGAAGCAAGACAGCACCTGATCCTGTTAAGAACAGGACTGTCCAAATCCCACATTGTATCCCCGCCTGTTAGCCGCATTATCTTTGCACTGCTTCCATGTAACAACAGGCTAATTAAAGACAAACTGAAGTTATCAGGAGAGATCATGCTGACAACACCACTGTAAGTGCTGGACTAACAGCAACTTGCAAATTAATTGCAAGAAGAGGTGGGAATAAAGACCAAATTTTAACAAGTATACTGCTTAGAGAAGACCATTTCTAAGCAATGTTCTCACTCTAGATGCCTTCTTCCTCCTTAAACCCTGCATTTTAGTATTTCTTGAGCAATTAATGTTCTTGATTATACCACTGCATTCTGTGTGGATCTAGTAATCTGGAGAAATGCCAAGTTACCCTTGAATGTCAAGCTAGTAAGGCACAAAAGGTTTTTAAGTTCCCACATCTGGAGAAGGTTATGCCTGAGGCAGAATTTTCTATCGTTTTAGTAGCAAGCTCCCATGATAAACCAAGGAAGTTTTTCTTCTCTGCAGATACCCAAGCAGCACAAAAATTGGTCATACCTTGTTAGCATCTTCATGCTTTTCAAAGCTTACAAAGCCAAAGCCCTTGGATTTTCCAGTGGGGTCTGTCATCACTTTAACACTCAGAGTTTTACCTGTTACCAAGGGACAGGGTTAGTAAAATACCACAAAACTATTTCAAGACTATTAAACTCCATATAATAGCCCCAGCCCTCCCTCTCTTGTCTGCTGGTCAGCCTCTGCCTCCTGTCTAATGTTTGGCACAACTACTACTCACATCTCAATTCTTTGTATTCCTCAGCCCAAAACTGACCCAGCTAGAGCTATACAGATAGCAGCAGCACTGCTAAACTACCATGGGTCATGAAATTCACAGCTTTATTAAAAGTGTTTCTATATTTACCGTATTTGCTGAAGAGCTCCTTTAGTCTTTCATCATCCATGTCATCCCCAAAGTTTTTAATATAGACATTGGTGAATTCCTTCGCCTTCGCTCCCAACTCAGCCTCCCGCTCTTTACGAGACTTGAATCTCCCAACAAACCTGTAAGAAAGAATGAAAATACCAATAAGCAGCTTGTTTTCAAGAGCAGAAAAACAATGTGTGACTTGCAGCAAGGCAAAAAAAAAAAATGAGTGTGTAGTAGGAGCTGGGAATGGGGACAAGAAAGGGTGACAGCAGAAGAGAAGGACAAACAGGCTACAGACCAACCAGAAAAATCACCTGTCCTATGGTCAGCCAAGGATGCCCACCCAGCTCTGCAGTGGAGAGAGTACTGGCCACAGAAACCCACCCAAGCCCACTAGCGGAGAGGTAGCAAATCAAGGCTTGGTTAGGGAAACCCACCAGCCCTGTAATGGAGGGGTAGCAGGCCATGGCTTGGGCAGGGTCACTCACCAGCCCTGTAGTGGAGAGGTAGAAGGCCAAGGCTTGGGCCAGGAGAACCAGTGCCTTGTGTGTCCCTGTTAATACCGAGATGCATCACGGTTCATGCGATCGTTGCTGCTTCTGGCTGTGACACTCACACTTTGCGGTCGTTTAGCAGCATGCCGTTCATCTTCTCGATGGCTCTATCTGCAGCATCCTGGGTCTCAAAGTGCACAAATGCGTAGCCCTTAGAGCCATTCTCATCACACACCACCTAGATATGTGGAAGGAAAACAAAGTGTCAGCTCTCTGAACATGTTTTCTCCTCTGTCATTCTCACACACAAGGCCAGCACATGAAAAAGAAGTTACTGCCAAGGGTCAACACTAGGAAAACGTTATCTGTGTTTCAGACTTCCTCACTTCATGACCAAATCTGATGCAACTTCAGCAATCCCTGACCTTTTGGTCAACTCTGCCTTTTCAAGACTCTGCTCCTCACTTGGTCAAAGGGGTCCCTTTTGCTTCCTATGCTGGACATGTCTCATCATGTCACCACTTAACAGAATTGGATAAAGTAACCACATCTCACCTTGCAGGACAAAATATTCCCAAACGCTGAGAATGTGTCATAAAGTGCCTTGTTATCAATGGATTTGTCCAGGTTCTTAATGAAGACATTCCCAACCCCTGACTTCCTCAAGGAGGGGTCCCTCTGAGACCACATGATGCGAATGGGTTTTCCTTTGATCACATCAAAATTCATGGTATCTAGAGCACGCTCAGCTGCAAGAGAAGCCAAGAACAGATTTCTGTGGTTTGTTAAAGAATAAAGGTTTCCATCATGTGGATGACGGTTTTCTCCGAATTTTACTCAGCTCATGGTGACATTTGGGGTAATATCATGGGCAACCAATTCCAACAACTTTTTAGCTCGGTATTTCAAGGGACGTCTTTGCAGCACAGTCACAACATGTTTAAGTATATAACAGGTTTAACAGACTATTTTAAATTTACATTAGAGTAATGTTTTAACCACCACAGCAAAATGAATGTCAAAATGCCCAGGGTTTACTAGGTATATTCTTAATTATTATTGCTCCACCCAAAGAAGGAAAGGAAATACAGGAAACCCTGGGGGAAAAAGGGAAGTAACAAAAGTGACTGTTTGGCTTGTTTGCTTTTCATGAAGCTCACATCTACCCGTACACATTTCTATTAAGAGAAAAGGATCATCTCCCCATCAGGTCAGGGAAAATGTGCACGAACACGTGGCTGGCTGGGAAGAAGACATGAGTCAGCCTCTAACTAATGTGGCCAAAAAATGATTCCCAAGTTGCTCAATCTAAAGCTGACAGCAACAGCGGACAAAAGTCTGGAAAAAAAGTCGTACACCCAATCTGATTAACATGGAAGTGTTTAGATAAACTCCAAAACCCCAGCACTGTCATTCTAACCTACACTGAAACCCCCCTCCACGATTCTATTTCTGCTACCTACTGATATATTAAAAGGATCATTACGTACACACATTAGGATCTTGTTCATAAAATTGAGATGCTTGGGACTCTTCTGTGCCAGAAAACACTCCCAGCATGGAGTGAGCACAGAACAAGAAAGGCTGTTAATTCCCAGCATGAATGAGAGGGATAGATATGCATTAAAATCAAGGAATATTAACAGGGTAGAACCCAAGTTTTCCAAATTTGTTTGGCTCAGCTCTTCCAGGCCACCTTCATCCAGTGACATTTGCTGGTTTGATTTCAGGAGCAGCAACTTCAAGGAAAATGCCAATTCAAACACCTTCTTTCATGTGATTTTGCTAGTGCAGCCAGAGTAACTACTCAGCACTTCACAAAACTATCTCTAGGAACTCCAATGGGACATTGCCTACAAAAGTCTCCTGCACTCCCTACCCTCAAAGGCAGTAGTTTCAGCTACTGCATGGAAGTTTCTCAGAATTTTTCATGTGCTTTGAAATGTTTTTGTTGTTGTTGCTCTTTAAATTGAAGTGATGCCATCACCATTTTCCCCCCAGTCCTTCACATATACAGCCAGCTGGAAAACAAGCTCTGCTGGACTTCACTCCCCAAGTAGTCAGGCTCGCAAAAGAAAAAAATAATTTAAGAAGTAAAGTTATGCTTGCTAGGGCTCTACTAGCTCTGTTTAGTCAAAAGAGTTAAATACAATTAACTGTCATGCTAAAATGATTCCTCTGCTGCTACTCTGAATCAATGCAACTGAGGTTCTTCCTGCAGTCCCTTCCTAGTAGGCACTTCAGCAGGCAAGTTGGTCCAGCTTGTCAAATTTGGCAGTGTTTATTTATAGCAGGGAGAGGTCCTCCAGAAATATGCGTTGGCAAGGACACAAACTAGCTGTATATGCCATTTGCAGCAGAAACATAAAGGTGACAAGCAGATGAAGCAGCGACATGCAACCAGAGGGAACTGAAACACTCTGCAGCAGCTACCGAGACATAGACTAGTTATGACCTTACTCCCAGTTCTTTCAAGCTTCCTAAGCATATACTTAAGCAGATACTATTGTACTGCTTTTTCAATAGCCTGCTAGTATTCCACTCTATTATTGTCCTCTGCTTGAAATTCGCTCACTTCTTGTGAGCAGTGGTGTAAGAAAGCCCTAGATGGATTCCCTGATTTGAGAGAGGTCTGCCACACCTGCAGGTGGAAATGCAATCACATTACGCCAGGACCTAAGAAAACCTGTAAAGGATCACCATGAGTTATGTGAATGACTCAGGCTAAGCACATCTGATTCATTTCCTTAATCTGAGCAAACACCTTCTCATTTTCTTCTATTTAAGCCACAAAGTTTCAGCCATTTCAGTTCCTGTATCTGTTTCTCTCCCACTGGTTCCTGTCGTCCTTCCAGCAGACTCAACTACAACTCATATATAACATTAGACACACTCTTAACCCCTTTCAGGCTTTGTTTTCTTTCCTCTTCCACAGCCTTCTAGATAGGGAAAGCATATGAACACTCCTTGCAGTTTGCCTCAGGCCTCAAGGTAATTGATCTCCCTTACAGGCTCCCTGATGCAGAGCTAACACAATGCTGGAATTAGCGACTGTGGCTGAGCAGCATAAATACAGATAACCTCATGCACACACCAAGATTCACCCATGAGAAACTCTGCACAAGGAGTTTTATTGTGCAGAGATGGCTGCTCTGCAAACCTCTGGGCTCTTGCTTACGTCACTAAGCAAAAGAGACCCGACAACAAAAGCACATAGCACAAATTTAACCACTTATTTTTGAAAAAAGAGAGGTTGCATACAGAACAGATTTAAATCTCTTAATCACTGAAGTTTGAACAAAATGCTGATGGCAACGAGGCATATACAAGTAACCACTCTTCCTTTTTAACTTCACCCTGCATTTACGTTACACAAGTCTTCCCTTACATTGTCTTCTCCTCTTCAAGGAAGAAGAGAGACAAAAAGTTTTATCTTTATTCTTCTCCACCTTGCTTCTTCAGAGACACTTATCTAAATCCCAGCTGTGGGTTCCTTCTTGGCTTGGGAAATGTTCTGGTTTCTCTGTACTTCCAGAACAGCTTATCTCTGTAGCCATATTAAAGTTTCTCTGCTTCATTATCTGAGTTGTCATGTCATGACTGCCAATGTTATAAAACCCTGAAATGCAATTAAATTGCATGAAGAACACATGAAAAAGGAAATTCAGCTTTTCTTTCAAATTAAATTAGTTTGTTTTCTTTCCCTTCTTCAGTCAAAAATAATAAATATTAACGACCACAGCTGAGCCTGAACTAGCCAGAACTTTGAAGCATTTCCTTAATCTGCCTATCACAGTATGACAGATTCAGCATTCACTGGTTAGTACACCAAAGAACTGCAATCGAAAACAGCAGAGCTTATTTCCACTAAAAATAACCTCTCTGCAGCAAACAACCAGTTAGGCAATGCATGTCCACAAAGTAACCCCTTGCCGGGTCAAGCATCACTCCGTTAGCTAACAAAAATGTACAGAAAAACACAAGCTTTGAACCAATTTGGACACAGGAACTCTGAAAGTACAGAGCACGTTCAGGATGTGACAGCGTGAGCTCCTGGTGGCCTCACGTAATGGGGAAGAGCTCTGGCTACTTGATTTGCTCTATGGCCTTTCTCTCGCCATAAGGACAGAGTCCTATTTACCACACAAAAAAGTTAAAACATTGTTTTCTTCAGATTTACAAAGCACTCATCCTTCCACAAAAGGTGCCAGGGAAATGCAAACTATCATGTATCGACTCCTTTAATACCTACTACCACTTCAAGCATACTAACAATGTGTCCACAAGAACCTCCCTAGAAGTTTTTCAGAGCACAAAGCTCCCCGATTACTTCAAGTGATATTTTGTAGCACCTACTATCACCCAGAAACAAAACAGATCTTTTCAAAGATTTAGTAAAGTGAAGTCCAAATGCATTTCTGATTATGCATTCCTGGAAGAAAATCCTGATCCCTCCTCCTCTCAGAAAGCCCTCATGCAGGCTGTACTGCATGCTGTGACCTTGAAAACCATTCCAATTTCTGCATTCCACAATAAAAATTGTATTTTTCATATTTAAGTCTGTTTCAGAGAGACCACAACACACCACCAAGTAGCTCACCTTTCCAAAATTATCTATGTTCTGCTGCATTACATTTAGTACAGCAGCTGTTTTTTACTTATGCAAAGTAGCACATGCTGCAGTTTGCCAGACAGAAGAAATGAGGAGCACTTCAGAAGAGATCTCTTCATGAGGGCAGGAAGAGTTTGAATATTTCTCTTTCCCAGTATTAACCCAATAATTAGGTTTAAATCACTTGACCTTCTACCAGTAACAAGACACCATTTACTTTGTCAAAGTATCACTTGAAGTACTGGGACTTCCTAAAATGTCTGCTGCCTCATCAGGAGCTCAGAATGATGCAACCTCCCTCTAAATTCCTGCCTATTTATTACCATAAAAGATTACCTTGAAATATATTGGAAGGCCACCTGTCTTCATATTTGGATGAAGTGCAGAACTCCTTTCTGCTAAAGCAAGCACATGTGACTAGCTGCTCTTCCCTTTTAACATCATAACTACATGTATTACACGGGTCTTCTCTACTTTAAAAGAACTTTATCTATACTTTTGCACCTCATCTCCCCAACATTCATCTAATCCAAGCTCTGAGTTCCTTCTTGGCTTTATTTCTGCTGCTTGTTTTTATTTCTCTTATCCTGCAAAATGACACCATAGCCTAGACAAAGGCAGGTGAGCCTGAATAACTGTATCTTTGCTTGTACAGCACGTGGACATACCAAAGTGGTTTTATAAGAGGGAGTCAGAGCAGACAGGTCCATCAGAGCAGGAGAGGACCACATATACAAGCTTTCAGGTTCTTCCTTTCGCACCGAGAAGTTTTAAAACACATAAATACACTGCTTAGTCTGCATAAAAATCACTTCTGAGAGTTCCATGAATGAGAAATTATGCAGTGGGGTGCAAGCCAGCTTTTTATCAGCCTGGCAAGAGAAAGGATCAGAAGTGCTCAATCAGATTAGTCCACATTCCAAGTAAAGGACATGCAGAAGAAGGTACTCTGGCTTGGGAGAAGATGGAAGCTAGGATGGCACATAGTCACAACAGACTATGTAAAATCCAAACATTCCAGCCAAGGGCTCAATCCCAGATGCTCTGCTAGCTTGCAGGAATACAATTTTGTAATAACATTTCTTGTTTTCTACACAAGAAATACTTTGATCCAAAGTCAATATATTACCCTATGCAACAAACAGACCACTCTCTGCTGTCTGTAAAAATGTAAAGCAGGATAACCAACTGCAGGTTAAAGGAGAGTTTACTTGCTGCTGAGGTCTGTGCTGTTGTGAATTGATTCTGAATTCAAGGGAAAAGTTCACTCCCTATCCTTTGCATGGCCCTGTTGCATATATACACTGCTAAATCACAGCACAGAGCAATAAACTTATACCAGTCAACAAGCAAAGACTCTGAAAACTAGGGCAGAAAATGCTGACCCATTTTTCCTCCAGAAAAGACATGTTCCAAAATGACCTCTTCTGTCCCATCTTTCAAAGGCTACTGCTGCTTCAGCTCTGGAATACCTACTTGAGCCAGAACCAAATTAAAGTATGGAAAAAAGTTTGGTAAGAGCAAATCAACATGGCTTCTGCATGTGAGACAACCTGGTTTCCCACACATTGAATAACACACCTTCTTTCCCATTAACACAAGAATACCACTTCCCAGACTGGGAGACCTATCTGGCTGCTTGCACAAACACAGCAACCTGCAGTCCACCAGTTCTCCCAAATATTAAACTGGAACTAGTGGGCAGCCACAGGCTCAGCCACTCAAAATGAGCACTCAACCCGGGCTGACTACTCTGAACTTTTTCCGCTAGGACAGGCTGCATGAAGACCCACACAGATAGCCCAAACCTACACAAGAACGAAGGGGAACACACTGGAGATTATTCTCTTTTGCAAGGAACAAACCTAGGTCTCCAAAGTTTACTATCACTAAGAGAAAAACAGGTCTGTCTATCAGAGATGTTACAAAGATGTGCATTTGCAGAGTATTTTGTAGACATCAAGCAGTAAAAAAATATTCCTGTTTCAATCACTAGCAAGTGATTACTTACCCTCTTAAGCGTAACATTTTGGTAGGCAGCTACACGGCAAGCCACACCAACAGCAGTGTGGATTAATGGGGAAAAAAGTGAACAAAAGTGAACAAAAAAGCAGTAGATGTGGTTGTATATGTCACTTACCATCTGCTGGCTGCTGGAAGTTGACGTAGGCATACCCGAGGGACCGGCGGGTGATCATATCCCTGCAGACCCGAATGGAGAGAACGGGCCCAGCGGGGCTGAACTTCTCATAGAGCATGGCCTCGGTGACATCGGGGTGCAGGTCACCCACGTACAGCGACGCCATCGGGTAACTGCTGGCAGCCGTGTTCATCTTCCACCCAGCATGCGCTCCCACCAGGAACTAAGAGGGGTTTTATCCTTGGGGTTTAAGTCAAGCTTTCTGTAAATATTCAAACTGGGGGAAAACCTCAAGATCTTATTTAAAAGCCTCACTAAGCAAGGGCCTGCAGAAACAGCTTGGGAGAGGGGGGCTGGCAGGAGGCCGGTGACCAGAGGGCCCAGTGGGGGGGCCGCCACGCCAGGCCCCGGGACAGAGAGCAGCTGAGGGGAGAGGAGTGGCCTGGAAATCAGAAAA